GTTTGTGTGTGTGTGTTTATGTGTGTGTGTTTGTGTGTGTGTGTTTATGTGTGTCTGTGTGTATAACTGCTGAAAAGTGTGAGTTAATATGGATACCTCTAATTTCAATCCAAACCCCAAGGAGTTCTGTCTTGCCTTTCCTGCTCTTCATTCCATGTTTCTGTCTCTCCTTCCAAAATGAAATCTCTGTACTCCCAAGACATCAATATATTTACCCATTCATTCAATCTTACAATACACATACATTTGATTCAGAGTTGTTCTACGAAAAACAAATCTACCAAAAGGATCAGAGTATTTATTGGTGTTTTTTCCCTACTGGCATTATATGGTCAAAGTGTATTAGTCCGTTCTCACACTTCTATAAAGAACTGCTCAAGATTGGGTAATTTATAAAGGAAACAGATTTAATTGACTTACAGTTCTGCATGGCTGGGGAGGCCTCCGGAAACTTACACTCATGGAGAAAGGTACCTCTTCACAGGGTGACAGGAGAAAGAATGAGTGCCCAGCAATGTGGCAAGCCCCTTATAAAACCATGATATCTTGTGAGAACTCACTATCATGAGAACTCACTCGCACGAGAACAGCTTGGAGGAAACCGCCCCCATGATTCAATTATCTTCACCTGGATTATTACAAGTCAAGGTGAGATTTAGTTAGGGTCACAACCAAACCATATCAGACAGCATTCCAAAGCTACTTGGATTATTTCTCTTTCCCCAGAGTGGTTATTTTGTTGATTTAAAAAACAGTTGAATTTTGCATTTGTTTCCATTTGCACTCAGTTTTAAAATAACTTAAATTTACAAGAAAAAAAACCACCAAAAAGTGGGTGAAGGATATGAACAAACACTTCTCAAAAGAAGGCATTTATGCGGCCAAAAAACATAAGAAAAAAAAAGCTCATCATCACTGGTCATTAGAGAAATGCAAATAAAAACCACAATGAGATACCATCTCACGCCAGTTAGAATGGCAGTCATTTAAAAGTCGGGAAACAACAGATGCTGGAAAGGGTGTGGAGAAATAGGAACGCTTTTACACTGTTGGTGGGAGTGTAAATTAGCTCAAACATTGTGGAAGACAGTGTGGCGATTACTCAAGGATCTAGAAACAGAAATACCATTGGACCCAGCAATCCCTTTACTGGATATATACCCAAAGGATTATAAATCATTCTACTATAAAGGGAGATTTATTTTGCAGCACTGTTCACAATAGCAAAAACTTGGAACCAACCCAAATGCCCATCAGTGATAGACTGGATAAATGCGGCACATATATACCATGGAATACTATGCAGCCACAAAAAAGGATGAGTTCATGTCCTTTGCAGAGACATGGATGAAGCTGGAAACCATCATTCTCAGCAAATTAACACAGGAACAGAAAACCAAACACTGCATGTCCTCACTCATAAGTGGGAGTTAACAATGAGATCACATGGACACAAGGGAGAACATCACACACCGGGGCCTGTTGGAGGGGGGTGTCTAAGGGAGAGAAGATAACATTAGGAGAAATACTTAATGTAGATGATGGGTTGATGGGTGCCACAAACCACCATGAAACACATGTATACCTATGTAACAAACCTGAACATTCTGTACACATATCCCAGAACTTACAATTTAAAAAAAATTCTTGTTGACCTAATTTTTAAAATATGTAGCACATTAGCATACATCCTTGAAGTCAAAACTCTGTGGCAAGGTATACTCAGAAAGGTTTCATTTCCTCCCTTGTCCCTAGCTCCAGTAAGTAACCAGTTACATTGTTTTCTGTTTTTCCTTGTGCTTGTTTTTGTTTTTGTTTTGTAACAAAAATAAACAGAAAATGTATATACTAATTTTTCCTTTCTTCTTAAACAAAAAAAAAGTATACTGTATAAACTTTTTTTGCACTTTGCTTTTTTTTATTTAACAATATATTCTTGAAAGTAATTTCATATCCATTCCTTGGATTCATTATTCTCATTGTCTTTTGCATAGTACCAGGAAGTGTGTGTACCATAGTTTATTCAGTCAGCCTCCTATATTTGAGCATTTAGATGAGTTCCAATATTTTGCAAAGACAAATAATGCTGCAATGAATAACCTTATACATGTGTACTTTCATATTGTTGGAGGAATATCTTCAGGGTAAATTCCTAGATGTAGATTGCTGGATGGAGGGATAAATGCATATGTCATTTGGCTTGATATTGCCAAATTCCCCACCACACAGGTTGTATCATGCTGTATTCTCACCAGCTATGGACAAGGATCCTTTTTACCCCATAGCCTTACCAACTGAGTGTGATGTCAAGCTTCTGAATTTTTAATCAATGTGTTAGGTGAGAAATGGTATCTTAGTATAATTTTAATTGGCATTTCTCTTATAAGGAGAGAAGTTCAACATATTTTCATAGGTTTGAAAGCTATTGTACGTCTTGTTAGTTAATTAATTTTTCATATATTTTGCCTATTTTTCTACAACATTTTTGTTTTTGTTTTTGTTTTTTTCTTTTTTTCTTTTTTTTCAGACAGAGTCTCGCTTTGTCACCCAGTCTGCAATAATGCAGTGGCGCAATCTCAGCTCACTGCAGTCTCCGCATCCTAGGTTCAAGCGATTCTCCTGCCTCAGCCTCCCAAGTAGCTGGGACTACAGTCGCGTGCCACCATGCCCTGCTAATTTTTTTGTATTTTTAATAGAGACAGGTTTCACTGCATTAGCCAGGATGTTCTCAGGTCCTTACTTTTAAGAAGCTACTTGTATATTAGAGATATTAGCTCTTTATCTGTGATATGTTTTGCAAATATTTCAGTCTGTCCTTTGACTTTTAACTTTATTTCTCTTGTTTTCTGCCATCCACATACTTTTTGAGTCAGAATAAACACAATTCAGGGCTTTTGTTATCAGATCTGAAAATGTAAGATGAAGACAAATTAAAAACAATATAGTTAAAGTGGGAAAATAGAAAGGTCACTAAGATAAATGGCCCCCAAATAAATGCAAATATGGGTATATATTTGAATGTATTTTATGAACTTAGTATATAATACTTTATATATTTTACATTTATGATACAAAAGTATATAATATTAGTATACAATAAAAGTGACGCTTCAAATTAGTGATGAAAGGGATGGCTATTTAGGAAGTGTACTCAACACTCAGTTAATTTACACACACACACACACACACACACACACACACACACACACATGCAAACCTACCTTAAATAATCCACCAGAGTAAATAGAGTTACGTTCCCTGTTGGGTTCGGATTTAAAAAAAAATAGAGCTACATAGCAAAGTATTAAAAGAAAACACTGGCAATTATACCAGCGTTTCTCAACCTCAGCACCACTGAGATTTTTGCACTGGCTAATTCTTTGCTGTGGGGAGCTGTCCTGAGCATTATAGCATATTGAGCAGCTTCCCTGGCCTCTATCCACTAGATGCAAACAGCAGCTTCCCCAGTCGTGGCAATCAAAACTGTCTCCAAATATTGCCCCCTAGTGGGTACAATCACTCCTGGTTCAGAATCATGAATCTGTATCATCTTGGCTAGAAACATAGCACCCAAGAATGAAATCACAAAGGAAATTTTGAAAATATTGACTACATTTTAAAAAAGACAACTTTAATAGTTAAGTTATAAAATTGCCATTCAAACAACAAATGGAAAAATGCATAGCATAAATTACATTTTCATTTACATAAAAAGTAATCAGTAAGAGATCTAAATAATTAGATAAATACTGAAAAATGAATATACCAATAAATATATTTAAAATAAAAAAATTAATTCAGCATGGATGCTTTATCTCTCATACTGGTAAACATGAAATAAACTTCAGTATGAGTATAGGGAGTCATAATTTCATAAAGTGATAAAAGTATAAATAAGTATAACATTGATGAAAACACAGTGGGCAGTGCATATTAGACCTTTCAAATATATGCATATTAGCCAGGGGTGGTGGCTCACACCTTAGTCTCAGCTACTCGGGAGGCTGAGGTGGAAGGATTCCTTAAGCTTGGGAGGTCAAGGCTGTAGTGAGCTATGATCATGCCACTGCACTCCAGCCTGGGCAGCAAGACCTTGTCTTCAAAAACAAAACAAAACCAAAAAACAAATATATGCATAGCTTTTGTCCCTGCAGTTTTTCTGGTACTTTATCCTAAGGAAATAATTGAGCTGTAAAAAAGTTCATTGCAGTACTATTTATAATTGCTAGACATTGGAAAAAATCCATCTATATTTTTATTTTAGAGTAGGGAGCTAGTCAAATAATGCACATTCATACAAAATGGAATACATTAGGTTAGTATTACTATTGATGAAGTATATGCCCTGGGGAAATGGATACAGTTAGAAACTCAGGTAACAGAATTGTGTATATATGTATCTGTTTGTATCTCTGAGATAGATGAATCAATTCTATTTCTTTTTTCTATTTATATTTGACAGATTATCTTTAGTGATAAGATAGCATAGAAGGTCTTCATTTTTATATTTGTATTTTTAAATATTTCTTCCAATTAAATAATGGATGTATAATTTTTTAAAAATGGAGAAATACCACATTTTTAAGTTCTTTATCTCAATTTCAAATTTTAAAAATTTAGTAAAATTTTAAAAAGTAAAATTTTAAATTTAAATAATAGAAAACAAGGAATTTTCTACATCAGCCTTCATGAAAACATTTATAACTAAAAAAGAAAAAAAATTACAATGTCCCTGTTAGTATCCATATGATAGACTACTCTGCATATATAAAGAAAAGAGATGTTTATAAAATTCTAGACTAATATCATCTTGAACAAATAGTAGTTATTGTTAACCACATAAGTATAATAAAAATAAAACCAAGTGTCTAAATTTAGTATTAAAGAAAAGCACAGCATTTTCATCTGTGTATGTATTTGTGTGGGTCTTAATAGGAAGTTCTTCTTTGCATGAGTAGATCAAAGGAAATGAACCTAAAATGTGCTTTATTATATTGTAGGTTGCTTCAGGTGAATGCAATGAAGACACTGAAGTTTACAACATCACCCTGTGTACTGGGGATGAACTCACTCTAATGGGGCAAGCAGAAATCCTTTATGCAAAGACATTCAAGGAAAAGTCACGACTCAACACAATCTTCAAAAAGATTGGGAAGCTCAATTCCATCAGCAAGCTGGGAAAAGGCAAAATGCCATGCCTCATTTGCATGAATCACCGGACCAACGAAAGCATTAGCCTTCCATTCCAGTGCAAGGGCAGGTTTAGCACCCGAAGTCCCCTGGAACTTCAGATGCAAGAGGGCGAACACACCATCCGCAACATTGTGGAGAAGACCAGGCTTCCTGTGAATGTGACTGTGCCAAGCCCTCCACCGAGAAACCCATACGACCTCCACTTCATCCGTGAGGGGCACCGCTATAAGTTTGTGAACATCCAGACCAAGACGGTGGTGGTTTGCTGTGTGCTGCGGAACAACAAGATCCTCCCCATGCACTTTCCTTTGCACTTGACTGTCCCCAAGTTCAGCCTCCCAGAACACCTGGTGAAGGGAGAGGGATGGCCCGAAACCCTGGTCCATCACTGGCTAGGTATCTGCCAAGAACAGTTCGACATCGATGAGTATTCACGGGCTGTCCGTGATGTGAAAACCGACTGGAATGAGGACTGCAAGAGCCCCAAGAAGGGCCGGTGCTCTGGCCACAACCACGTGCCCAACTCCCTCAGCTACGCCCGCGATGAGCTCACTCAGTCCTTCCACCGACTCTCGGTCTGTGTGTATGGCAACAATCTCCATGGCAACAGCGAGGTGAACCTTCATGGTTGCAGGGACCTGGGGGGAGACTGGGCCCCCTTTCCTCATGACATCCTGCCCTACCAGGACTCTGGAGATAGTGGGAGTGACTACCTTTTCCCAGAAGCTAGTGAAGAATCAACAGGCCTCCCGGGAAAGTCAGAACTTCCCTATGAAGAGCTGTGGCTGGAGGAAGGCAAGCCCAGCCATCAGCCTCTCACTCGCTCCCTAAGCGAGAAGAGCAGATGTGATCAGTTTAGAGGTTCTGTCCGATCTAAATGTGCAACTTCTCCTCTTCCCATCCCTGGGACTCTGGGAGCAGCAATGAAATCTTCAGATACTTCCCTACCTCCACCTCCAGTGCCTCCCAAATCTGAAGCCGTAAGTCATTTCTGTTTTTGAATGAGGTGCCAATCTTACTGTCTCCCTGCTCAGTCATCTACTACTTTATTTTCTTCAAACTCCCCAACTGAAGATTATCAGAGTGAGCAAATTTGTTTAGTTTGGAGTGAGATATACATGCTAGCTTGATTATTTTGACCAGTTAGAAATTACAGTTTTACTCTATGTCTAATGAGAACCTCTTGGAGAGTTTTTAACAGTAGAGTTTTAAACATGACTTTTGCTGCTGCCCGGAGAATGGATTATAGGGAGGAGAGAGTGGAAGGTGGGAGGCAGAGAAGAGGCGACTGCGGTAACGTAGGTGTGAGGTGGTGAGGCCCTAAACCGCGGCAGCTGGTAGTGGCTGGCAGAGAGGGACGACTGCTTCAGACTGTTTCACAGGTAAACCCAACAATATTTACTTGTGAATTGGATGTTGGGCATGAAAGAAAGAGAGCAATCAAAGAAAACGCCTAGATATTTAACCTGGGCAACAGAATGGATATTATTGTCATTTACTGTGATGGGGAAGACTGAAGGAGGAGTAAATTTATTTGGTGGTGGGAGGGGAAGCAGAGGAAAATCAAGAGGCAGCAGCCTCACTTAACAACTCTCTCCTATACCCCTGAAGTTACTTTGAGATCAAAGCATAGTGGATGTGCTAATGTATACACACACACCCCCCCGCCCCCCACAGAACCAGGTGCCAGGGCAGTTCTATTTAACACCTTAAACGTAACTCATTCAGAGCTTGATTTTAATGTAAAACTAAAATTTTGGTACAGTTCTGTTTAGAACAAAAGAAAGGGCCCTCTATTTTGACCATGTTCTTCGACTGACAGCCACTCTGAACCTTTGCTATTCATTTTTAATCATTGAATTTCGTTATCCCTGAGGGAGAAAGGGCTACAGGTACTAAGTGTAATTTTATTAATTTATTTGACAATATCTGTTACAGTGGCTTCCTTTTTTCTATCTCTAGAAGAATCCTTTTTAAAAGAATTATATGAATCCCAATATATAGAAGAGTTCAAATCAAAACCTATCTGACTGAAGCACATATTGTGGGGAAGCGGTCTTCCTTGGGTCCCTGCCCACTCTGCCCCTACCAGGTGATCTTAGAATACCTTTCTAGAACCCTGGGGCTGTGCAGAACCCGGTTTTTTAAAACTATGGAATTACTAGGCTAGATGCTAGAAATACAGGCATCAAGAAAACCTGGACTCTAGCCCCTCGTACTTCTCAGTTTTACAGGGGAGGTAACAGATGAAAAGAAATGACTGTTATACAAGTTAAAAGGTGATAAACAATAGGAAGATGAGAGAGAGAGAATGTATGGGGAATTCAGAGGCGACAGAGAAACTTCTAGTCGGGGGATGAATGAGAGGAACCTCCGTGGAGATTGTGACATTTTAAATGCGTTTAGAAAATGTACCTGAATTGGAAGAGAAATGAGAAAGAAGGACATTCCGGACAGAGCAGCATGAGCAACGAGCTGGAAGCTGGGGCAGCTTTAAGCATGTACGAGGGAAAACGAGGAGTTCTGTGGGGCAGTTAAATAGGGATGGGCAGTGCTGACTGAGAGACTGGCACCAGGGCATGGACAGCCCTGGGTGTCAGGCAGCAGTTTGTGCCAGGCTCCATGCTTAGCTGTCCATAAAGAGCCCTCATTGCTGCAAAGCTTTCCTAAGAGGACCCACCTCTGGCCTTTTGTTGCAGGGCGTGAGAGCTGCCCAGCAGCTACAGATCTGGACTTGCCCTTGCTCCTTACAGGATCCTGTGGGGACCATCAGGCACAAGCCCAGAGATCCCTGTATTCACTAAATGTCATGGACTGTTTAGGGAACTTAATGGTAGAGCTGGGGTCCTTGGCCCTTGTGTTTATGTCAGTGATTCCCTAAGAATGTTCATCAAAAGCCAGGTAAAAAGTAAGGGGGCAGCCCTCCAAACAAGTTCTCCCGGAACTTGAGGGATGTCTTAATTCGGCTATGTATTTCGTGTTACTTGAAGGTTGGGACTCTGACCTTCAATAGAAACATGACTGTATGAGCTTTTCCTACTGAACTTGGGTCCTACCTGGCACACAGTGGGGACTCATGTTTGTTGACTGACTTACAGACTCATCCGAGATGGTCACACCCAGGGTCATTTATGTAACCAAGTCTGGAGGTAGGAAACTAGCATCACTTGTTTTTTCTGTGGCTAATGAAAGATGAGTAAGAACATAAATATTAAGAGGTCCAACTCTGACCTTGGTACTAAAAAAGAAACGCTAAATTTGAAACTAAAAGCAAATCTCACAGAAGAAAAAAAAAAATTGGCCTCCAGTCTAAGCTGTAATTTCTTATGACGTAAGAGAATCTTTTCAGAGCGTGTCCAGTGTTTGTAGAATGCTATAAACCTAATGAGTTTTTTTATAAACACCTGAAATCATTTAATTTGGTTTTTTAAAAAAATTTAGGCATTTCAAATGAAGTCATGTTTTTTATTGGTTCTGTGACCATGAAATGAATTTTCCATTTTTAGGATGTGCGTGGGATCCAGAGAACATCATAGTTGTTAGATGTGGCTTCAGCTTGTAATTTTCAAAAGGGAACTTTAATGGGGCATAAATTTAAGTGCTCCCACAGAATTAAGTAAAAGTTCTTTGGATAGTTCCGGTGGAGTGAGGTCTTGGGAGAGAGATGTGCCATGTGTCCAGCCAACTCTCCTACCCAGTAATTAAAGATGTTGGCTTCACTTGAAAGTGCACCAGCTAGATATTAGCTGGGAAGGTGACAACTCTCACAAGGTCCTTAGGAATAGAAGGTGCCAGGGCAACGGAAAGGAGTCAAAGAAAGGGGGTCTTCCTCCCCACTTGTGCTGCAGCTCTGGCATCCTCTGGGCTCTGCTTGTCAACCCTTTTCTGTTTGTGTCTTAAACAGGGAAACTACATTGTGAGCCAAACAGAAAATCGTTGGGGGCAGAGTCATCCGTTTAATCCCGTTCGTATGTTTTGTTAATATACCTTGCATATTCACTTGTATTTGACGCTCTAGTCCTTTTGTATCTTTGTATTTGATGCTCTAGAATTGTGTGCTCTAGTCCTCTTATATCTTTGTAAAGATTGTTTAAGAATTATTTATGCTTGTTTTGTTTTGTTTGAAACAGAGTCTTACTCTGTTGCCCAGGCTGGAGTGCAGTGCACGATCTTGGCTCACTGCAACCTCCGCCTCTCCAGTTCAATGATTCTCGTGCCTCAGTCTCCTGAGAAGCTGGGATTACAGGCACGTGCCACTACACCTGGCTAATTTTTTTGTATTTTTAGTAGAGATGGGGTTTCACCACGTTGACCAGGCTGGTCTCGAGCTCCTGACCTCAAGTGATCCACCCACCTCTGCCTCCCAAAGTGCTGGGGTTACAGGCATGAGCCACTGAACCCAGCGATGTTTAATAAGTTTTTAAACAAAACACTGACACTAACCTCTCTGGAATATGAGAGGCCGTTCTCTTCCTAACGGGAATGTCACAGGGAAAAGTAAACAGTTCCTGGTTCAAGAAATAGAGAAGATGCAACACCTAGAACTGTTGCATCTGAGCCCAACTGAGGGAGCATGCCCAGTCTGGCATTTTCCCTTTTTAAAATTTTGCAAGCTGCCCCCAGATCAGAATGACCTGACAGTCCCTTTTGAGTGGATTATCCTTATTGATCTAAACACATTCTCTATTCTATAACATTGCAGGCGTCTATTCATCAGGTAGATTTTCTGGTTATTGGCTGATATGTAAAGTATTTACCCAGATGTACTCTACAAAAGGCAATCTTCAAGAGCAATCTTCTTTTCCCCCTCTTTAGAAAATGCCATTTTGGAGAGCAATGCTGGGAAGACTTTATGTTGCACAAGATGCTATAAATAGAGCATTTGACTTCCAGTCTGTTCTCCTCTATGCAATGAGTTACAAATAGTTATCAAAACTGCAGGGTCAGCCTGGTATGGTGGCTCACGCCTGTAATCCCAGCACTTTGGGAAGCCGAGGTAGGCAGATCACTTGAGCTCAGGAGTTCAAGACCAGCCTGGCCAACATGGTGAAACCCGGTCTGTACTTTAAAAAAAAAAAAAAAAACAACACCTGGTGTGGTGGTGCATGCCTGTAATCCCAGCTACTCCGGAAGCTGAGGCAGGATAATCAACTGAACCCAGGAGGCAGAGGTTGCAGTAAGCTGAGATCGTGCCACTACACTCCAGCCTGGGTGTCAGAGCAAGACTCAGTCTCAGAAAAACAGACAAAATAACCCTGCAGGTTCACAGCTCTTCTGAAACCATTTGTGTAGCAGTATCCTATCTGAGGACCCCAGCACCCAGTGGTCAGTGTTCTCTATCTGTCCTTTTTTTTTTTTTTTTTTTTTTTTTTTTTTGAGATGGAGTCTTACTCTATCACCAGGCTGGAGTGCAGTGCTGCGATCTCGGCTCACTACAACCTCCACCTCCTAGTTTCAAGCGATTCCCCTGCCTCAGCCTCCCAATGAGATGGGAATAGAGGCTCACGCCACTACACCTGGCTAATTTTGTTTGTTTGTTTGTTTTAGTAGAGACAGGATTTCACCATGTTGGCCAGGATGATCTTGATCTCCTGACCCCATGATCCACCCGCCTTGGCCTCCCAAAGTGCTGGGATTAAAGGCATGAGCCACCGTGCCCAGCCTCCATCTGTCTTTAATAACAGAAAAGAAACACATTCCCTCTTGGATAGTGGTTGATATTATAGCAATTCCTGGTAAAAGGAAAATCATAAAAGAAGCTCTTTTGTGAACCACTGATTTCAACCATGTTTTACTGCAGTGTTGATGAATTTGTGAACCTTTGTGATAGACAAGATTGCCCCACAGCTTATGAGAAACAGAGTTTAAGAACTAAGTTTTAAGATGGGTTGGTAGCACGCATTCATTGTTAGAAGGCCGAAAGTTCATCATAAAGTTTCTTTAATGAAGCACACTGTGTTGTTGGTGTTTGAGAAAAATG